CCTTCCTGAAAGATTCCCACCCTACCTCGTACAAACACCCACTCTGGTATGCCTTCTCTCTGTAAACTGCTACTACAAAATGTTCAATTGCTTTGCTGAACGAGTAATACAGTAACTTTGGGACTTAGAGATCCATTTGACTACATTCCTTAAGAGCTGAATCTTTATCCTAGCTTTCTACCCTAATGTTTAGCCTATTTCCTGGTCTGCAATAGATGTTGAGTGAAGGAAGAAAGATAAAGTGAGAGGTATTGAAAGCAAATGATATAATGTAGTTGAGCATAATTTCCATGAACATTTGAAAAAGCCCGCTGAAGGTATGAGAGAGTTTAGTATGAGAAACTCCAAGAAAATATAGCCCACCTATTATTCCTGGTTTCTAAAGTGATGATAGCAATTTTTCATAAATACGTAATATTTTGGGAATACAAAGTTTAAGTTAAATACTAAGTAATTACTGATCCCTTTGCAAAAGCTTTGTGGATTATCTTTTAGATGTAAGAAATTGTGAAATAGAAACTATTTGACAGAGATGGAAAGAAACTGATAAGACAGAAAAGGGAGAAAACAAATATCGTTCTCCTCTTGTTATAAATATTCTAAAATAAAATTATTTAGATACTGGCACTGCTCTAATAGAAGGGATAATATTTAAGGGCCGATACTTGCTATACTACATGGAGGTATGTAGAAGACTATGAAAAACAAATTGGTTGCTAGCAGCATTGAAGAATATAGCCATAATCACCAAACAACTTGGAGAAACTAAAATTCATATAATCTGCACTTTTGTAACAGAGCTTCCCTTTGAATTAATAAGGTCTTGTTTGTAGACAAGGATTTCTTATATTTATTATTTTAGCAATGGATATAATACTTATGGAGTCATTTAACTAAACTTCCTTTTTCCTTTCAATCATGCAGTATGTGTGTATTTAATGTTTTCTGTATGTCAGAAACTGAAAATGGTATTGAGGTGTATTGAGAATCAGATTATATCTTGTCATTTGTGTGATATTTTAAAAATTAAACATATGATTTCCTTTCAGCACAATGAAGTTTTAAAATATGTAATTACTTATTTATAGAATAAAACCCAAAATATGCATGTATTAAAATATGCACTTATTTGAACATTAGTTGTAGTTATTTATAATGAGTTAAAGACTTTTGTCTGTTTTAAATTCTAACATTTTTCTTATAGTCAAGAAGCTAAACTAAAAGATCATATAATTTTTTAAAATATTCAGTTTTAATAGTACTTATTTTACACATCTTCCCATAAAGACGACCATCCACATAACTCTTCAGATGGCTAATGTAACTGGTGAGAAAGTCCCTAAGTGCTATAACATAAGATTGATTTAATCAAACATTGATTTTTAGTAGTTCTAAAAATTGAATGCATCCTCCCTCTACTTCTGAAGAAAATTCATCATGACAGAAGGTTCTTAGAATAAGTAATATGTGCTTTGTATTTCTGAAACAAAGAAACAAAGAATTGAAGAAAAAGGCGAGACTGTGAGAGAAGATGAGCACTTTTTGAGTTTAATGTGCGTGAAATTGTATGCCTTGGAAGAAAGACAAATTGTCAGCAGGATACAAAGTAAGTTTCCTTGCTCAGAAATACTCTATGTAGGCGGTTAGTTGTTTTATTGTTTTCTTCCTAACACAAGTTATTTCTGTAAACTGGGTAAATGAAGGAAACTTGACTTGAAGGGGCCACAACTTCAATCCCAAATCTCACCAGAAGGGAGGGGGTTCAGGTGAGAAGGAGGAAGCTAGGAGAGCAAAAATGTGGCATTGGTAAATGCTGAGGTTTAACCTCTGGAATACCTGTGTCATCTCCTGGGGAGAAAATATCGCTAAGGAGAAAAATCAAACCTCAAAAGAAAACACAAAGTTTGTAAGTCACATTGGGACTAAGGTGTGATGGGAACAGAGAAAAGTATTGATTTATCTGTCCCAAATTTGGACACAAACAGGGTATCTGTGAACCCAAACAAGAAAGTACGGACAGGAGGAAAAAAGTTAAAAGACTACAACAATTCAGAAAAATTGAGTACAAGACACTCAAAGAAGGTGGCCTCATTAAATTGTTTTTAATCATTAATTTTTCTTAATTTCTTTCTGGTCAGTATCTTTTAATAAAAGCCATACCAAATGTTTGATTCAGTCTTAGTTTCTTCTAAAACTACCATTGCTAAATTATGTACTTATTTACTGACTCTTAAAAACCTGTGAAAATTTATTGCAAGCTTCCTTTTGCTATTTTTAACTATATCTTTCTATGTAATACAATGAAATTTATTGAATTTTTGTCTTAATTACCCATGATATACTTAAATATCATTGATATCAATATATTTTCCTAAATATTTAAGTTTTTTCTATATTTCTATATTTTCATTTTTTCTATATTTTTCCATGAAAAAGTATCACCTTGAAAATCAATATTACTATGGAAATGCACACAAAGAGTATGTTTAAAAGAAAATATTAGTAATATTTGTCCACATGCAAATATTAAGAAAACATATATCACTACATACAGTGCATTTTGTTGTCTTAAATTCAAAAAGAAGCTGGATATTACTGAATTGAATAAGAAATAGCACTTAACATTACTTCTTTGTTTATTCAAGTTGTTCAATTAGAAAGTGGAGACAACTGTACTTATAGAACAATAAAAAAATGAAAATCTTCAAACATTAATTAACCTTAACTCTTAAGTTGATATCTAATAATATGATAGGGATATCTTAACAAGTGTTAAGCACAGAATTTACTCTTACAATACAGGTATTTTAAAAAACTTCTTAATTTACTACTTTGCTAAGAGCCTTAGTCTAAACAGTGGGTAGCATTTTTTATGGAAAAAAAAACTACTTTATGTCATAAGCCTTCATTACGTGTTGAGAAAAATAAAAGTTTGCAGTGATCCATCTGCTTTTAGAAAGACATATAAACCTCTTAAAAGTAAACAGCAAAAGAACTAAGAAAAGGGGACTGAGTCTTTGGAGGACTTGCTTTCACCATGTGCCATTGCTGTACTGATACAGAATTGTAAGTCAAATACTGAAGATTTGCTAAGTCATAAAAATATAAAGAACAAAATCTATGAGGGCAACCATAGCTGGGTCCTTAAGCACAGGTGTTAATAACAACTGAAATCTTAGTTCTGCCATTTTCTAGTTATTCTGCATTTTCCAGGAGACATTTACTTATCCAATGGAGCCTCAGTTTCCTCTCCAATAAAATGGTGATACTCATACCTAACAGTGAGGATATAGTGAGAATTAAATAAAATGGGCTGTGTAAATACTTAACCCATGTTGTAAATGGCATGCAGTAAGTGTCAATAAATGATGGCTATTATAAATAAGTGGATATTTTCAGCTTTGGGAAAGACTATTTGCTCTATGCTAGCAACAAGAAAAAACGCTCAGTGTTGGTCAAAATCAAAATTTACTGCAGATCAGGGAAGATCTACAAGGTGAGATCTAGAAAATTTCATTAGCTTACCTGAACTAAAGGACCCAGGCTGTGAGTTGCATAACCAGACCCAGGTTTCCTGATTTCTGGAGCCCTTTCTACTAAACCAATCTACCTTTTCTATGAGTCCCTATAGTTTATTTGAATGGTTTACATTTTATTTTGGATTATTTTTTAAATCAAGTTAAACTTACTAAGGGTATTACCAATTATACTTTTAACGGAAACATACTAAAGGTAATGTAAACAAATGCAATATGCTTCACCATGTAAGTTAAAACAGACGTCAAATAGTATTTCCTTAAACTATTACTAAATAAAAAATGTCAGTATAAACTTCCTATTTTCATAGGAAGGTTCCTGAGATAACAATGTAACAAGCATAACCTCAGTTGATCGTTCAGCCAAACCTACATGCTTACATTTTTACAACTAAAAAAATCAGCTTTATAAAATTTCACTGAACTTGATCTAATCAAACGCACTATAAATAAAGCACAAATAAAACTTTATCTTGTTTGCTTTCATTATCATTTGAAAAAATTCAGTTCACTTTTTGCTGGTCAAATCGGTCACTTATAACTCATGAGTAACGTGCTGCTTCTTAACTAAGCAGAAATGAGGCAAGCCTGTAGCTGTCTCTTGGCAGTCATCTTGCTTATCTCTAGACACTTTGCTTCTTCTGAGATGTCAAAGGAAATTGGAACTTTGGTTTTGTGTACGATCTCAGGTGTTTTGTACCTCTGGGATAAACTGAATATCTAATAGGAGAATGCAGGATTCCCTGAGTGAGCTTCACTAAGGAACCTCATGAATAATGAACTAGACAGCTCAAAAATATTTTCCTTTGAGATGGTGATATTTCCCTTGGGTAAAACAGTCAGAAAATGTTTTATTTTTCATTGTTTGATTCTTCATTATTTCTAAAGAAAAAATAAATTGTTGGTATATACCATATCTGACATAAAGGTTGCAAAATCCTACTTATTGTGGTTGTAAAAGATACATTCTGAAGAGTATTTTAGTTCATGTAATCCTGTATTTTCTTTTTGGTCTATTCTCCTTTGATGAACATATTTTTATTTTTGAAATACTGACAGCACAAGAAACTTAGATAGAATTTCTTCTATCAAATTCAAAATTTATCAGTTTCTTGATATTATTCATGTTCACTACCTTTTACTTGGACCTAGAGCAATGTATATTGGCATAACACTTTCAACCTTTTTAAAAATGGTTCCTATTCTTACATTAAGAAGTGAGTTTTAGAAGAGATATTGGTGTACAGAAATGTACAGTAAAAATTAAAAGCTGCAGTATCATGTAAGCAACATCTAATTCTTCCAATGGTAAGAAGAGTTTATGGTCTTGAAAAATTAAAATTGCCCAGTTTTTTCATATAATTGCTATTACTTTACTGTTTTCATAGAGAATATTTTGTCCATGCATGCAAAGAAAACTTAATATCTTTTCTTTTTACAAGAAAATGATAGGAATATACATACTGTAAGGGACACATTCATACTGCACTTCAAGGTATTTATAGGTTCCTGGACACGGGTCTGGAAATACATCGGGACCTGCCACGACCGCACACTGCGTTCTGTTATTGCACCTGAAGCCAAAAAAAGAAAAAAAAGAAAAAGAAAAAGAAAGAAAGAATGTGCTTATGCAAAGTTAAATCATTATTAACATCAATACTAATTTAAATTTTATTTTGGTTCCTATCACACATATTTAGGATTTTAGACTTACTAAGGAAATTATCTCATATACTTTAAAATAAACTAGAGGTAAAAATTAATTATTCAGTTTACTCATATTAACTAGTTTAATATCTGATTGAGCAGAACATGATTTTAATTTAAAAGTTAAGTACTGCTTAAACACAACTCACTGGCCAAAAAATATTGGTAGGGAAGACTCACTCTCATTATAAAATCAAATTAAGAAAATATAACCACATAGTTTTATTAAACAGTTGTAAAATAAACTCACTGATTATCATGGCAATCATTTTAAAGACAATAAAATATGGTGTTAAACTTTTAGGCAAACAAAAAAGAATAATAAAAAGTTAATATTTAAATACTAAAATATATCTAAAACCATGATTTATAGAAATGAATAATAACTATCCCAGAAGTAAAACCATTTAAAATAACTGATTCTCTATAACCTCTTCAGCACTTATTATTACTTGTCATGTTATCAATAGCCATTCTAACAGGTGTGAGGTGGTATCTCTATGTAGTTTTGATTTGCATTCTTTAATAGCCAGTTAAGCGGAAAAAGGGAAACAATTCACTGCTGGCAAAATGTAAACTGACACAGCCATTATAGAAAACAATATGGGGGTTCTTCAAAAAAATAACAGTAGAGTTACCATATGACCCAGCAACTCCACTTATGGGTATCTACCTCCCCCAAAATTGAAAACATGTATTTGTAAAGATATATGCACCCCAGCGTTCATTGTAGCACTATTCTTGGTGGCCAAGACATGGAAACATCCAAAGTGTCCTTCGATAGACAACTGGATAAAAAACATGTGGTACATTGGAATACTAAACAGAAGAAAGAAAGAACTCCCACCCTTTGCAACAGCATGATGGGAACTGGAGAGCATTATGTTAAGTGAAATAAGCTAGGCAGCAAAAGACAAATACCCTATGATCTCACCTTTAACTGGAACCTAATCAACAAAGCAAACAAATGAGCAAAATAGAACCAGAGACTTGGAAATAAAGAACACATTTACAGTGACGAGAGAGGAAGCTGGAGGGGAATAATGGGGGATAGAAGGGGAAAGGTCAAGTCAAGGAACTTGTATAAATGACCCACAGACAAAGACAACGGTGTGGGGGGAGGGTTGAATGTGGAAGATGGGGGCTAGGTAGGGCAGGGGAGAGTAATGGGGGAAAAATGGGGACAATGGTAATTGCACAACAATAAAAAATGAAAAAAAAATTGTTTGAAATCCGAAAAGAAAAAGATGTAGCACATTTGTACCATGGAATACTACTCGGTCATAAAAAATACATAACATTGTCATTTGCAACAACATGCATGGACCTTGAGAATTCATGCTAAGCAGGGTAAGTCAGACAGAAAGATTCAAGAACTATATCATTGCACCCATATGTGGGATATAAAACTGAAAGCAACAAATAATAAAAAAACAAGGGAGGAGGAAAGAAGAAATTGCTAAAGGGAGTCATTTATATGGTGATTGAAAGAGACTAACTGTGGGTGTAAACACATCATCCAACCTACAGATGATGTATTATAGAATTATATACTTGAAACTGATATAATTTTATTTATCAATGTCACTTCAATAAATGTAATTTAAAAGAAAAAAAGAATTAATTCTCATTTTCTTATGTTCAGCCTAATAATATTGTCCACAAATGCCAATATCTTATAATTCAAAATAACTTGAAATCTCTAAAGAGAATAATAAAATATTACTATCAAAACAAAAACAAAGTAGACATCTTTTGTGGCAATAGAGCTACACAGAACTGGGCTAACCTGATTCAATCATGGGTAAATGCACCTGTAATAAAATTGATACCTACTCTGAAAAAGGCACACATTTTATTTTTTTAAAAGAGTTTATTTTTAGAGAGAGTGGAAGGGATGGAGAGAGAGAAATATCAATGTGTCATTGCCTCTTGTGCACCCCACACTGGGGGCCTGGCCCGCAACCCAGGCATGTGCCCTGACTGGGAATTGAACTAGTGCCCCTTTGGTTCACAAGCCAGCACTCAATCCACTGAGCCACACCAACCAGGGCTGAAAAAGACTCACATTTTAGAGTGGCTTCATTATGGTAAATTTTACTAAACAACTGTTAAAATTAAATAATTTATCAATTGACAGACATTTCTGAAGAAAAATACTTATTCTACCCAAAATATTGACACTGAGATTATAGAATGAGACAATCTAGTTATCCTGTGTTTATGTTCTTATTTATTCATCTCATAAATATTGTACCTTAGGACTAGATTTTGTATTACTTTCTTAGGGATGTTTCATTCTCTATAAAAGACGATACTCTTGATTCCTTGCTAGCACACTGCCAGAGTAGGGAGCATTTAGGGCAGAACTCATTTTGATTTAAAGTAAAATGCTTTGTGATTACTTGAGGCTACTATTTGTCAGGCTTAATGAAGATTTTATTTAGTCCCTAAATTAAAATTGATTCTTTATTGAATGTCTTAAGCTTAAAAATAGTCTGCATTATCATTGAAAGATTAATAAAAGCCAATATTCCGTACTCATCAGGCAATTGTGCACTGCACCTAATCCTGAGAGTCAACACACTCTCAAGTTCTGTTGTGTGGATTTAATGTCTCAGGATGATTGTCAGACAACCAGCCATATAGTCGCAGTAATGTGCATGTGGCTATCTTCACACATGCACTGCGAACAGGTAGCTTAACACTTTGGTGTACTCAGACTTTTGAAAGAATAGCAGTACATCCCTATTACATGCAAAACACATTTCAATAAGCTGTCTCAGATGAAAACATATGCTTTTGCAATTAGAGTAATATAATTTTCACATTATACCTTAAAAATAAACTCATAAATCTGAGGATTTCATACAATGAGCAGCTATATAAACTCTGTTATTCCTATGATTATTATAGAAAATTAGCTATTATCAGGAACACATATAAGGTATAAATAATTAAAAGATGAAAGAAGTATATACAGTAACATGTGATGCTATGTAAATAGTTTGTAAATATAATATCATTGTTGATCTCCAGTTTTTGGCCTACTGTTGTTTTACTTCATATTATTAACCTTTATTTCTAATTACTGCATATCTAATAATAAAATTCATTTAGAAGCTGTGTCCATTCTTGTAATTTTCAGATGGAAACATTTAATTGCAAATATTTTATTATTTAAATAATGTTTAATACCAATGAATTAAGATTATTATTCATACATATGAGTAGGACATAAAGGTTAAAATTTACACTTATGAAAATGTTTATTTCACAGGAAGTTGTTTTAAATCAAGAATTTCAAGTGACAGTATTTGTATAGACTGGATTAACAATATAATATGGGCACTATACACATTGTCCACCCCCCCCAATTATCTCAACATGTGTATTGACCAATTTGCATATTATTTAAGCTTTAAAAATATTAAGGATTGATGTATATGTCAGAAAAGTGAAACAAGCAGCCATTTGTTATAAATGAGACAGCATTGTGACATGGTGTATGGGAAGGGGCGTGCAAACCAAAACATGGTAATGTGTACCATGTGATGTGGTACACTACAGTAATGTGTTGCAGTCATTCCCATTGCTACTTGATAGGAAACAAAAATGATGACAATGACTGTAATATACTACTGGTACAGCATGTTTTGGTTTGTATGCCCCTTCCCATACACTGTGTCATCACTATTTTATAGAAAACCAAAATGCTTTACAACATTCTCTTCTAAAAATAATTCAGACACTACCACTATTTCTATATCAAATACTTTTTATAAATTAAGAATCTGAAAAATGAAAAGAGAAAGCTAATCAATCTCTGGAATATTATTTATCTATAAACTACATTATAATTTGATTATTTAAAGACTAGCTGCATTTTAAAAACAAGACTCTAAAGGTCTGTCATTTCCTTTTTTTCATTGTTTCAATTATTGTGAGTGAAAATAAAGTTACCTTTACTATTAGAGTAACGATTATTAACCAACTTATAGCAGCAATAGTACTTTTACAGTTCTACCAAAATTATCAAAAGTAAATTCATTCAAAAAGAATATAGATGATGAAAGTTTGAAAAGTTAAATGCTTTCATCTGATTTAAACTCATATTTTTCATAATGTACTTTTAGTATAAATATAAAGGTGATTTTCATTATCCATGATATTAAAATATTTTTCAATATACAACATAAGATGAGAAAAAGATTGCAATAATATAGTCAAATGCATTTGAATCTAGTAATAGTCACAGAAAAAAATCTCATAATCTATAGAAGTATTAAGGCTTATCCATGATGAAAGTTTCAATATTTTTCATCAGAAACTTTATACAATAAAAATTTTTCTACCCTGAAAACTGACAATTTATGAATGAAGTATAAGCAGGTGACACTGACAAATACCAGGTAGAATTCCCAAAGAAATCTCCTGGAGCTTCAGTTTTCACATACATTACATGCAGGCCAGTTATTTTACTGCTTTCTAAAGTTGATATGCTTATAAAATACATAAAAATGAGTAATATCTATAAGTAACCAGTTTATTATTGTAGTTATTATCATGTTATCATTCTTAACATTAGTCACCTGCTTCATGATGGGTTAAGAGCATTTCATTTCAGATGGATTGATGAGTCTTTTGAGAGAAACTTATAATACAGAAGAAGGGACACACAGAAAAGCACATAAATTCTTTTGAGAGTAGAAGCATGAAAAACAGATTCACATTAAGAATGAACTGTAAACCCTAAGTAATTAGCTGCATGCAACCTACTTTTCCTGTGATGCCCTAAGTCCAAGATTTATAGTAACAATGCCTTCTACCTGAGTAACCCTTAAGCTAAGAAAGCATGTTCACAAAT